TATACTGTAAAAATTTAGCCTGAAGGATCCTTGGGAGAAGGAGATCAAATTTTGTATAAATGGTGGGGCTGGCCTTCTTAGGGCCTTGGGTTGGGGCACAATAGGGGAAATTTAACTTTTTCTTCCAAATCCTTCTTTTCTTATAGGAATGACAGGTTTTTGTCCATATGTGGTCTGAAGCATCCTTGATGAAGGGGAACCAGTTTTGTTTTAACAGTTGGTGTGACCCCGGGGAGCAGAGGGGCGAGGCCTGTTAAGAGACTTAAAAGTCCTTCATCTTCTGATAGGATGAAGGCATTTTGACCAAAATTGGTCAAGAGTATTTTTAGGTGAAAGGGACTCGTATATAGGAAAAATGATGGGTCTGAGCCCCCTGGGGCCTAATGAATGGGGCTACATAGGAGAAATTTAGCTAATTATTGAAAATCCTTCTTCTACTTAAGGAATGACAGTATGTTGTCTGAATTTGATTTGAAGCATCCTTTAAGGTGAATAAGGGAAATATAGATATAGGGAAAACCTTTAAAATCCTTTAAAATCCTTCTTCTACCATAGGAATTAAGGGATTTTATCCTTATTTTGTCTGGAGCATTCTTACTGTAAGGGGACTCAATTTAGCATAAACGGTGGCAGAGTGGCGGGGCAGTAAAACCTTTGAAATCCTTCTTCTACCATAGGGATTAAGGGAATTTATCCCAATTTTGTCTCCATTATGTGTAGTAGTATATGTTACTACATGTATTAGGGTGTATTCATTGAAACAAGATGGCCATCAGGCCGCGAACTTGGATTTTGAAAATGAAGTTTGTTCTCGCTATATCACCAGAAATACTGGATGGATCATACTGAAATTGCATATGTACGTACAGTACCTACCATGGAGTGCTATTTCATTACCTCATATTAAGTACTTTAAACATATCCATGTGAGTGATACAGGTCCTCTAGGCCTCTTGTTTATCAGATGTGGCTAGGCTGTTATGTCGAGCCTGTCAAAAGTATCTTGATGCGTTAAATCTCTAACATTGTTGGAGTACTTATACTGGCCTACCTAATAAAATATGCAATTACATTCTCTTGATTAATATCGGTCGTTACAGCAACATGGTTATTTTTCTGTTGTAGACTTGCTTTTAGATATGATGTAGTGCACATAAGAGCCACGTTTGATCGACACAAAGACGAGCGAACCATGGAGAAAGTTAAGAAAATGATGGAGCGTGCTGAAAGTTATGTACACTAGCTGGGCTGTCCCGAGAAGGAAACAGTGTAAGCAAATTTATATTAAAAATACAGAATGCGTATACCAGAAAATGTTTGCCTCATCAAACTTTCGTCCTTCACATCAGGGATAATTCTGGAGCCGTTGACCCTTCAAAACTGAAATTGACCCCTCCATGTTCCAGTTTTCTTTTAATTTTACATAGAATGGACCCTCTTTTTTTTAATATTGCCGAAAAATTGCTGAAAATAGTTGACTGCTCTCACATTCCAGGATTTTCCCTGTACAATCAATAACGATGTATATTTGGTGTATTGATATTCACTGTAATGGTAAATTCACCATCAGTATGAACGGTAAAAACGGTGAAAATTAACCTGCAGCAACAATTTCCTGGTATACAGTAGCATGCAAACTATGATTTATTTAGATTTCCTGGCCTGTCATTTTGAGCTTAATTAACTTATTAGCTCACCTGGCCCAAAGGGCCAAGTGAGCTTATGGCATGGTGCGGCGTCCGTCCGGCATCCGTCCGGCGTCAACTTTTTACTTTAAACAACTTCTTCTCAGTAACCAAACGGGCTAGGGTAATGATATTTGGCCAGAAGCATGCTGGGATGAGGGGCTACCAATTTTTTTCAAATAAATGACCTTCAACCATTTTCAAGGTCACAGGGGTCAAATATGTTTAAAACCTTTAAACAACTTCTTCTGAATAACCAAGAGGCCTAATGTGATGATAGTTGGCCAGTACCATGCTGAAATGAAGGGCTACCAAGTTTGTTCAAATAAATGACCTTGATTCATATTCAAGGTCACAGGGGTCAAATATGTTTAAAACCTTTAAAC